CTACACTAGAGAGAGCCTTCTTAATGGCCCCATAGAGATGATGATGATGATGCTGATAGCTTCGTGTGCATGCCCTTCAACTGAAGAGCATTGCTGCACCACGGCTGCATGGGGCACACGCAATGCGTGACCCAGCTGGATTAGTATTGCCGCTGCACGAGCGCCTGCAGTCCCACGCTGAGTTCCCATGCATTTGGAGTCATTTTTGTCTCATGAAACCAACCTTCAGACTGTTGTCAGGCAAGCAGAGACGCACACCCTAAGTAGGCATCTGCAAAGAAAGAGCAATATGGGGTGGCTCCCAGCGGTGGTGCTTGGCGTCAAGCAAACGAAGCAAAAGCTAATGACCCCATATAGATCAAGGGGCCACAGGTTCAAGACACATATAGGGGCAATATATAGTATCGGGTCTTTCGGTAAAGTCACATGGATAGGTTCAAAGAAAATAACAAAAAATAACAAAACATAAAAAATATATACATTTCCATCGCAACACAAAGGTCGTCTTCAGAAGACGACGGCTTGTGATGCGATTTAAACGTCGTAGTTTTTTGTAATTTTTTGTTATTGTCTTTGAAACTATCTACGTGACTTTACCGAAAGACCCAAGAATATGAATTCCTGCAGGCAGGAAAGCTTCAAGTCAAGATATAGGGACAACTTAAACATGACCTCTCATTTGGAGCATAGCAACCACTAACACTAGCCGTTCTAACGATACTATCAAAACAATTGCACGCATTCATCTGTTACAGCCAGGCCCCGAATGGCCGCAGGGCAGTCCGGGCAATTGTCTGGTGGGCCGGTTTGTGTGGTGGGATCTTCTGTCTCCTGGCTATCTCTGAAGAATACATGTCTCTCTCGCATCTCCTACAGGAATACACGTGTACCATGCTTTTCAAATCCTATCCGAATACATGTTTTGTCATATAGTGTCTCAATACATCTATATTAATATATTATTGTTGTCTTTGATCACGCCACCTCTGCCCTGTGATCTCTATCTTGTCTGCATATAGCTTCTCTCAAATCAAGCCGTCTGTGTCTCGTCTTCTTTATCTCTCTTCTCATCTCGCGACATTTCTATCCATTTCTATGTTTTTATCTCATCGCTTTACATCTAAATACATATCAAAATCTTGTCTACATCTCTTCCATCATCCGATGAGATAATCCAAAAATTGTGTCTTGTTCGATGATAATTAATAGTTATACCAATTACACCAATAATGTGATGAATGGTGGTGCTGGTAGTAGTGATGGTTAAACATGAAATGAAGGCGTTGGGCAAATCCAAGCCACGGACCGTAAGTTTCTCGCCTTTGCCGCTTTGAATCTCATGGGCGGCATGATTGTTTTGCGTGCTAAAGGCAGCAATCGGCCGTGTCCAATGACTGCTTTTAAAACATCAACCCCTTATCGTACAACAGCACACCGTGCGTCGACGCCACTGTCAATGAGTCATGGGGATTTCTGGGTTGTAAGTTTACGAATTGGCAGCGTGTGGATTGTGAGCGCTTTATTCGTGGCTGGGAGTCTAGCGCCTCCTGGTGTAGTATTCGGCATCATGACGTCAGACGTGCAGCTCCACGTGCTGGGAGCGTCTGAGGGAACACCTACATTTTCTGCATGAGCTGATTATTCAATTCCTCAAGAGGCTTCCAACACGTGGAGTGAAACGCCGGACATTATGCCAAACAACACGCAGTGCAAACCGAAAACATCAAATAGCTATACAGCACAATCGTGAAAACGTATGCAGTAGGCATATGTACACTGTTATTTATTTTAAAAATTCAAAATTACAATAATACTGTACTGAAATTACATGCGTTCACAATAAGGATCCCCAAATGCCTCTGCTACCAATTATTTATTGTAATTGTTTTTAATTGATAAATTGTTTAGTACAAAAACGCATTTATAAAATTCGATTTCAAAAGAGTAAAATATGCATTCATATTAATTGTACACTGTCGAATTATCCACACAGCAAAACATTTTACAAAACGTGGCATTCCATTGCACGGAAGGCAACACATCCCAGGGACGAGGCCACAGGAAAACCTCCCGTGCTGCAACAACCGTGGATGAACCCAATAACTTGTCAAGGTAATCAGAATGAAATAAGCAGTTGTTTTCTTTATTTATCTATGGCTTTTTCTTCGGAAAACTCTTTTCAGACAAAAACTGTGGGCTGTGTTCGACAACGCTTATGTGAAGAGTGAAAGTGACTCTTTTACTCATTGACCAATGTTGTATGTATGCATGTTGAACTTCTAGATTTAAAAGTACTAACCTCCAGTGGCTTCCTAATATCGGAAGGAAGAGCTTCCCAGCGCATTTGAAAGCGCGCAATGTGGTGATCGCCTTTGTTCTATGGCCAGCCAAAAGCCACCGTGAGGATGACCGGAGTTCGCGTGCTGATGGTTGATGCTCTTTGACGAGATCAGAAAGATATTGTGGTTCATCTGTGGCAAGAACTTTGTGTGTAATGAGTGCGAGCTTAAAACGTAAACGTGGTGGTGCTGATCTTCATCAGTGGCCCTTGATCTAGTGGGGGGGGAGTTCTACCTTCTTATGGGTGGTGGGGAGGGGGGGGGGTCACTCCTTGCTGAATATAGACTGACCAATGTTGACTGACATCTTACAGAGGAGTACTTATTTCAGTGACCCCCAGACGTTGAATCGACTCCAACCCGGGTGTTCGCAGTCCTCCGATTGCGCTTCGGGCACTCTTACCATAGTGCCACAGAGACAGACGAAGCGACACGAACCCAGAAGCGACGTCCACAGCGACTATTGATACAACAAAGTCGTGTTTGCAGTGTGAGGCAGGGGCTACGGCTGGAATGTCACAAATAAACTAGCGGGGCAGTACAGTGTGAGTAATATTGTAATGATGGTGTACGACACTATATCCACATTTGTTAGCTATGAAGTCCATGCATCTGTTGAGACGCAATGTAAAACGCTAGTGTATTGTGGTTGTAATGTAAACAAGCAAAAGCATCGCGTGCAGATATCAGTTATTTCTTGTGAATCAATAAGATATTTCTGGTCATTATTTTATGGACTGAGTTGTATATGACGATCAAAATAACCATCAAGACATAAAGATTAGTGCAGGCTTGAAAACCAATATAATTTACAGCACACAGAGGTGTTCAAAAGCCTTATCCAGACCACCAGCTCAAACTAACTAATTGTGTGGCCATTTAGGCATTTACGACCACCAACTCAAACATTTGCGACAATGCGGCCATCCCAACATGTTGAGAGGGATAAAGCTTTTAGGTCGTAGGGATGGCTAAAAAAACATCGATAACATTCGACCTGTTCATTACGATTTATCAACATTTTCCTTCCAGCGTTTGTGTTTTTCACGCTGAAAAGGCGTTCAAAGGGGGGCTGCTCGCGGCAGGCAATGTGCGCTGAATGACCTCTCTCCTCATTTGGCATTTTTTTGGTGCGTTGCTTTTCATGATCATATTTAGATGTTTTAACGCCGCTGCAGCCTTCCCTTGCTCGCTTTGATCACGGTCCGAGAGACTAGCGGTGGGGTGCTATTCTATTCTTGTGTATGGAGTAAATATGTCGAGGTCTGCTCGCCACGAGGAGAGAGCTACATGAGAGAGTTCGTGTCGTGTTGCTATTCCTCTTCCGCTGAAGGAGCACAGACTGCAGTTGTTTACTATGAGGTCCGCAGTTTAATTCGCATGGCCACAATCCCACTACTGTGGCTTGTCTTTATGTATCTGTGTGTGTGTCTATACGAGTCTCTATGTAGCTTTATGCGTCTCTGTGTTTACTGTGGTCCATAGTTTGGGTTGCATGGACACGATCCCACTACTGTGGCTTTGTCTTCACGAAGGAGATGCGCGCATAGGCCTGTTGATTTTTCTGATGTGGTTCATGGTTAGACCAGGGTATAGAATAGAATAGACCAGGGTCTTTGAGGCGTTTTTTCTGGACGTCTGCATGGAGTCTTCTTGAGTATTTGTACAATATTTGCATGCGATTTTGCGTGGTGTGGGTGTGATTGCGAGACGCGAGTTGGCGTGGGGGCTGTACTACAACAACGTCCATCACACGTAAATCGAACGGATAATGTTACATTCTCATGGCTTTGTGGGGGTCTTTGTGCAGTCAATGTGAGAACGGCCCGTGGAAGCTTATATGACGGAACTACCTCCGAGACCCATTCATCAAGTGACTAATGACAAAGATCCCCCCTATAGCCTGAACAGACTGCGGGGACAAGTGCCGATATCGAGCGCCTATGAAGGCCGTGGGCACGGCACACGAGGGCGTGTGTGGCCAGTACCACACGTGGCAGCCTTTTGTCTCCCAAGTGGCGATGTTTACACACTTCACCAGGTCCTCATTTGAGGCTGAGTCGACCTAGGTGACTTCTGGTGCACACACACCAGAGAGCGGCCTTCTCCCACCAGCCCAGCTTCAGAGCCCGAATGCTCGACGCATGATGAACCCAATGCTTTAAAGTACCAGGGGTGGGGAACGTCCGAAATCATTTGGTGTGGCTCTGCCAAGGCAACTCGAAATTCACTAAATCTCGGAGCAAATCTGGAAAATCAGTTGCGAGTAGCAGCAACATCATCAATACCAGCTAACATCACACACCCCTCTCCAAAGAGAAGCAGTTCCAGCCATCACATTAGGTGTGAGTTAATTAAATGTTTAACCAAATATAACGGGCTAATTTTTAAGTTGATAATTTTGTATGGCCCGCGAATAATGGTTATAAATATCCAAATGGCCCTTGGCAGAAAAATAACTTCCTCACCCCCCTGCCTTAAACTCGCCGTGGTTTTTCCCACCCGATCCCCCTGCATGGGCTCACACCTTGGTACGGTCCGTAATGTAGCGGGGGGGCACGTCCGTCACGTGCGAAGGCGCCGACCAATCGGAATGCGCGAGCCACCACGGTTCAAGTGGGCAATACCACTCGTGAGCGCCGCGGGGGGGGGGGGGTGTTGGAGTCGATGGGGTTGAATGGGGAGCGGCAGTGGAGCTGTTAGCGCTCCGCTGCACTTAAGAACCCGGCGATCCGAGTTCGATTCCCGCTCACGGCCAACACCGGTGAAGATTATCTGAACCGGTCCTGGGCCTCCCCCTAGGTCAACTCAGCCTCAAAGTGAGCACTTGGCGCGGTGCGTAGTAAACATCGCCCCTGGGGTGACAAAGGGCGGCCACCCGCCCCGTGCCACGTGCCGGCCTTCACAGGTGCCTGCCACTCGCGACGAAGAGACAGCCCTGGCACCAGCAGTCCCGCTCAGGCGGCACGGGACATCTTTGTCTTCTTTGAGGGGGTTGGGGGGGTTGGGTGCACACGAGGGAGGAGGAGGAGGAAGGGGAGGAGGCTTCCGGGCACGGGCGGCACCCCCCGCTCAGCCCGGGGCCTCTGGGACGAGCAGGAGCCGCGGGAGGCGCAGTGGGGACCGGGCTGAGGGCTGAGCTCGGGGCCCGGGAGGGAGGTGAGAGGCAGCAGCAGCAGCAGCGACAGGACGAGGCTGGAGCTGAGTGAGGGCCATGTCCCGCCAGCGATTTGCTGCTGATGGGGGGCGACATCATCATCATCAGCAGCAGCACCACGAGGAGGAGGGGAAGGGGGAGCAGCGCGGGCAGCAGGAGGCCGGCCCGGGGCTGCCAATAAGCCACCATCGCCCTGCTCGCCTAGTCACGCACGGGGATCTTAATCACCACCACCCTCTACAGCATCATCAGTACCATCAGCAACAGCAGCAGCAGCAACAGCAACAACAGCAGAGACGCGGGGCGGTGAACGGGGAGGCGAAGCGGCGCCGCGTCCCGAGTCGGAGAATCGGGCCCGATGGTGCCTACAGAGAGCCGGTGTGTGACACTGTGCCACTGTGTGTGTCACTGTGTGTGTGTCACTAGTGTGTGTGTGTCACGACTGTGTGTGTGTAACTACAGCAGCGTGTGGCACTTTTGTAGCTTACAGTGTCATTGTTTGGCACGATGTCACTCAGTGGGCATGGCTCACTGTGTTGAATAACTGTACGCTACTGTGGCATGGTGTGTGTGTGTCACTACTGTGGGTCACAGTGTGTGTGTCACTACTGTGGCATGGTGTGTGTGTCACTACTGTGGGTAACAGTGTGTGTCACTACTGTGGCATGGTGTGTATGTGTATCACTACTGTGGGTCACAGTGTGTGTGTGTGTGTCACTACTGTGGGTCACAGTGTGTGTGTGTGTCACTACTGTGGGTCACAGTGTGTGTGTGTGTCACTACTGTGGGTCACAGTGTGTGTGTGTGTCACTACTGTGGGTCACACTGTGTGTGTGTCACTACTGTGGGTCACACTGTGTGTGTGTCACTTCTGTGGGTCACAGTGTGTGTGTGTCACTACTATGGGTCACAGTGTGTGTCACTACTGTGGGTCACACTGTGTGTGTGTCACTACTGTGGGTCACACTGTGTGTGTGTCACTACTGTGGGTCACAGTGTGTGTCACTACTGTGGGTCACACTGTGTGTGTGTCACTACTGTGGGTCACACTGTGTGTGTGTCACTACTGTGGGTCACACTGTGTGTGTGTCACTACTGTGGGTCACACTGTGTGTGTGTCACTACTGTGGGTCACACTGTGTGTGTGTCACTACTGTGGGTCACACTGTGTGTGTGTCACTACTGTGGGTCACAGTGTGTGTCACTACTGTGGGTCACACTGTGTGTGTGTCACTACTGTGGGTCACACTGTGTGTGTGTCACTACTGTGGGTCACACTGTGTGTGTGTCACTACTGTGGGTCACACTGTGTGTGTGTCACTACTGTGGGTCACACTGTGTGTGTGTCACTACTGTGGGTCACACTGTGTGTGTGTCACTACTGTCTCGCCGAGTGCCACTGCTGTGTGGTACCGTGTCACTGTGCCTGAAGAGAGTGGGTGGCACACTGTATCGCTGTGGGGCAATGTGTTGGCCTGCGTCAGTGTGTGTGGGAGTGTCACCGTATGAAGTTTGTCACATGAAATGTGTCACTGTGTGGTGTGTGCCATTGCGCGAGGAACAGTAATTGTGTGCAGCAAAGGATCACTGACAATATAAAAGTGTGCGTGGCCACGTATCACTGTGGAACGGTGTTGGTGAGTGTGGGTCACTGTAACGGTGTTGTATGCCACTGTCAGTATGTGGCACTTTGCGTGGCACTGTGTGGGATACCCAAATCGCCGTGAAACACTTTGGTGCTCTGTGCCACTTGTCACCGGGACATTATGTAACACTGGGGTTTCATGTGGGAATATGAGTTTATCGCGTAGTCTGACTCCAGAGTAATACACGTGTCACCATTTCACTGTGTCACCATTTCACTGTCACCATTTAACTGTGTCACCATTTCACTGTCACCATTTCACTGTGTCACCGTTTCACTGTGCCACCGTTTCACTGTGTCACCATTTCACTGTGCCACCATTTCACTGTCACCATTTAACTGTGTCACCATTTCACTGTGTCACCATTTCACTGTCACCATTTAACTGTGTCACCATTTCACTGTCACCATTTCACTGTGTCACCGTTTCACTGTGCCACCGTTTCACTGTGTCACCATTTCACTGTGTCACCATTTCACTGTGTCACCATTTCACTGTGTCACCAGTTTCACTGTGCCACCGTTTCACTGTGTCACCGTTTCACTGTGCCACCGTTTCACTGTGCCACCATTTCACTGTGTCCACCATTTCACTGTGTCACCATTTCACTGTGTCACCATTTCACTGTGTCACCATTTCACTGTGTCACCATTTCACTGTGTACACCATTTCACTGTGTCACCATTTCACTGTGTCACCATTTCACTGTGCCACCGTTTCACTGTGTCACCATTTCACTGTGTCACCATTTCACTGTGTCACCATTTCACTGTGTCACCATTTCACTGTGTCACCATTTCACTGTGCCACCGTTTTTGTGGAGCGATGAGGAAGTTGTTGTGACCGTGTCACTGTGGAGCCACTGGGCGACACGAACCTTGCCACTCTGCGCGTGGCACTGGGTGTCTGTGTGGAACGTGTCTTGGTGTTCCATGCCAGTGTGTGTCTGTGTGTGATTGTGTCTTGGTGTTCCATGCCAGTGTTTGTCTGTGCGTGATTGTGTCTTGGTGTTCCATGCCAGTGTGTGTCTGTGTGTGATTGTGTCTTGGTGTTCCATGCCAGTGTGTGTCTGTGTGTGATTGTTTCTTGGTGTTCCATGCCAGTGTGTGTCTGTGTGTGATTGTGTCTTGGTGTTCCATGCCAGTGTGTGTCTGTGCGTGATTGTGTCTTGGTGTTCCATGCCAGTGTGTGTCTGTGTGTGATTGTGTCTTGGTGTTCCATGCCAGTGTGTGTCTGTGTGTGATTGTGTCTTGGTGTTCCATGTCAGTGTGTGTTTGTGTGTGATTGTGTCTTGGTGTTCCATGCCAGTGTGTGTCTGTGTGTGATTGTGTCTTGGTGTTCCATGCCAGTGTGTGTCTGTGTGTGATTGTGTTTTGGTGCTCCATGCCAGTGTGTGTCTGTGTGTGATTGTGTATTGGTGTTCCATGCCAGTGTGTGTCTGTGTGTGATTGTGTCTTGGTGTTCCATGCCAGTGTGTGTCTGTGCGTGATTGTGTCTTGGTGTTCCATGCCAGTGTGTGTCTGTGTGTGATTGTGTCTTAGTGTTCCATGCCAGTGTGTGTTTGTGTGTGATTGTGTCTTAGTGTTCCATGCCAGTGTGTGTCTGTGTGTGATTGTGTCTTGGTGTTCCATGCTAGTGTGTGTCTGTGCGTGATTGTGTCTTGGTGTTCCATGCCAGTGTGTGTTTGTGTGTGATTGTGTCTTGGTGTTCCATGCCAGTGTGTGTTTGTGTGTGATTGTGTCTTGGTGTTCCATGCCAGTGTGTGTCTGTGCGTGATTGTGTCTTGGTGTTCCATGCCAGTGTGTGTTTGTGTGTGATTGTGTCTTAGTGTTCCATGCCAGTGTGTGTCTGTGTGTGATTGTGTCTTGGTGTTCCATGCCAGTGTGTCTCTGTGCGTGATTGTGTCTTGGTGTTCCATGCCAGTGTGTGTCTGTGTGTGATTGTGTCTTGGTGTTCCATGCCAGTGTGTGTTTGTGTGTGATTGTGTCTTGGTGTTCCATGCCAGTGTGTGTCTGTGTGTGATTGTGTCTTGGTGTTCCATGCCAGTGTGTGTCTGTGTGTGATTGTGTTTTGGTGTTCCATGCCAGTGTGTGTCTGTGTGTGATTGTGTATTGGTGTTCCATGCCAGTGTGTGTCTGTGTGTGATTGTGTCTTGGTGTTCCATGCCAGTGTGTGTCTGTGCGTGATTGTGTCTTGGTGTTCCATGCCAGTGTGTGTCTGTGTGTGATTGTGTCTTGGTGTTCCATGCCAGTGTGTGTTTGTGTGTGATTGTGTCTTAGTGTTCCATGCCAGTGTGTGTCTGTGTGTGATTGTGTCTTGGTGTTCCATGCTAGTGTGTGTCTGTGCGTGATTGTGACACTGTTTGCCACCGTTTCTCACAAGGGGACATCGTTGATGTGTCACCGTGTGTCACCTTCCCTGATGTGTCACCATCCCTGATGTGTGCATGTGGAACGGCGTCTCAATGTGGCGCGTGGTGTTTGCTATCAGCGACTGGAGCGGCAGTGCCACTGTGGATGATGTCACCGGTGGACATTTTCCGCCACCGTGTGTCACTGCGAGTGTGGCACGAGTGTGGCACTGGTGTGGCATTGCGTGTGGTTCGCCCGTGCTGTTGTTACTGCTGGCCCTGTGGAACACTGCCGTGTCAGACCCCGAGATACACACGGAGCTCTGTGTGGCACTGTTACCCGATCGTGCGGCCGTGTGATCTCCTCTTTACAACTGTCTCAACCACGGCCCCATTTGTATATCACGTGTGGTACAGTAGCGGTGTGTACAATGCCATGTATACGATGTCACGGCATCTCGCTGCTGTATAGTGACAGTGTGTATATTCATGTTGTCGGTGTTGACTCGGGGTGAGGCTTTGGAGGATCTTCTTCTTGGACTTTAAACGGGGCAGGGAATGTAGCACAAAGGTCCGACCTATGTGTGCCTGTTGTATAAATCTGCCATTGTGCGCAAGGTGCCAATTGTGTGACCGTCTGTGATGCTGGCGTGCCACCACCCTCGCCATGTGACTGTGTGCCAGTGCGGCTTGTCGTCGCCACGGTCAGCCACAATGCGTGTCACTTTGTGTGCCATTGTTGGACTGTTTGGTGAACTCTCTTTCGCACCGTACGTAGCCATCCGTGCTAATCGGAACTGCTGCGTGTGTCTTATGTGAGCCGCTGCTGTTGGACACGTGGTTTTGTTTTGCTGTGCGTTTGTTGCGTTGAGGGCAATCGAGTCATTGTGGTGCAGCTGGCCTCACATCGCGAGGACAGTTTTATTACTGCAGCTGCGTGTGTCTCCGTGGACGTTTCCTGTGGCGCTCTGATGACGATGTGTCACTCCTTGGCTCCTTTGTGTGTCACTGCGTGCCACTGCTTCGTTGTGTGCGTGCCACTGGCTGTCACGAGCATCCTATTGTGGCATGCACGTGTCACTGTAGACTCCATGGCCACTGCTAGTTTGTTTGCATAACTGGTCGTTTTGTGCCAATGTATTTTAATATCATTGTCACTATTTACATTTCATACGTGTGGCCCTGTGTTATGGTATTTGTGCGATGCCATGTGCGTGTGTTTTGGGGATTCAGACTTTCTGTTGACTGCAGTAAAGGATTGCTTTTATTTTGTCGCAAACGCTCTCACTAGCTACTTTAGTGTTATTGTATGTTGTGGTACAGTATGATTTAAATGGAGCTAATTGATGGGTCGCAGCTTATTTAACGGGACAGCGATGGCA